ATTTAACAATCTACAGGTCCATTTAATTGATGGGCGTGGTGCCAGCTCCAGTCTTGATTCTGCAAGACAAAATTTAGCTGCAACATTTGTAAATGCATTCGTAAATGCTGGATTTGGTCAGGTTAGCTCTACAAACAATATGTTACTTTTAGTTCTTTCCGAGGAAAGAATGAATCTCAAGACCATATCTTCTGTGCAGGATAAGTTGATGACTGCTCCATCTGATTCTTCCAGTAGCGGAGCTTCTGGAAACTGGTTATTCAAGAACAAGGAACATGGGAAAGCCAGCGCAGCAGCTAGCCTGGTAAGTTACATTGTTATTGATATTTGACAAACTCTACAAACCATTGACAACTGAGTTCTTTAACTGGTCAACAATAATAACAAAAGTACTGTTTCACCTTTTCAGGGAATGATTCTCTTGTGGGATACTGATTCTGGACTTGCTCAGCTTGACAAGTACTTACATAGTAATGATGCTCATGTTGTTGCTGGAGCTTTGCTAGGTATTGGTATTGTCACATGTGGTGTGAAGAATGATTGTGATCCAGTATGTGCTCCACTGTCTAAGTTTCCCAACCTCCATCCTACTGATTAATATTGCAAATCTTTTCTTAATACCCAAAATTTTGCAAATACTTTCTTTAATACCCTAAATTTGCTGCCAGGCACTTGCTATTCTCATGGAGTACATTAACAAGGATGACACAAACATTCGGATTGGGGCAATCTTGGGTCTTGGTATTGCATATGCGGGTTCTCAGAAAGAGGAGGTGGGATTTAAGAATTGTTATTCTGTGCTTTTACAAAAAAAAACATTTTCTATATGTTCCACATAACCTGCTATCTGAAATTTCAGCTTAAATCTTATCTATCAACTGTGTTGGGGGACTCTGAGAAATCAACTCTTGAGGTCCTGATATTCTCCGCCATCGCTCTGGGATTGGTGTTTGTTGGTTCTTGCAATGAAGAGATTGCTCAATCTATCATATTTGCCTTGATGGAGCGCAGTGAGGCTGAGCTGGCAGAACCCATTATACGCCTGCTTCCTGTTGCGCTTGGTCTTCTGTATCTTGGAAAGCAGGTACTTTTTGAGCAACCTTGAAGCTTAGTTCCTTTTGATTCATTTTTTTTGGGCTGTGTGCACTAGCATTTGCTTAAAAAAAATCCAGTATTCCCTGCTTTTATACATTTGAAATACTGTTCAATACCTGTGGATTCGAGGATTTACCTAGTGTGTCCTCCCTTTATTTTATTTTAAGCAAGTGCTTGTTTCTGTTGGTTTTGTCAAGCGCCTTACCTGCTGTAAATGCCATGTCATGGTTCCCACATGATGTCTGACCTTTCGCATTGTAATGTTGTCCGTATTGTTTATATATTGTATTTCTATTCCTAAATGTACTGTATGCATATACTATAGCTGCCTTTGTTTCTAACTGTTGTTTATGGCTTTATGCAGCCCTTTTAGATAAATGTACCTTTTATGATTGTTTGGCAATTTCCATTTCAGGAGAGTGTAGAGGCTACGGCAGAAGTTTCTAAAACATTTGATGAGAAGATAAGAAAGTACTGTGATGTAACACTTATGTCACTAGCATATGCTGGAACAGGAAATGTGCTCAAGGTACTTCATGTTTAATGCTTAGAGGTTCTTGTGGCTTCAAGCTTGTTTAAATTTCGAGGTTTTGATATGCTTGGCAATTTTACGCAGGTTCAAAAGCTCCTTGGGATTTGCTCACAGCATCTTGAGAAAGGTGAAACCCACCAGGGGCCAGCTGTCCTAGGAATTGCGCTTATTGCAATGGCTGAAGAATTAGGAGCTGAGATGGCTGTACGGTCACTTGAGCGTCTTTTACAGTATGGCGAGCAGAATATTAGACGGGCAGTTCCTCTTGCTCTTGGCATACTCTGCATATCTAATCCGAAGGTATGCAACATTTGACCAACATAAGTTTTGTTAAGGATCACGATCTAAGTTAAATTTGAAGTAATGCTTTGATGATTAAGTGTAAAAAAAACTTTGAGAGAGGATGCAGAATCTAAACTCCAGTTCAATGAAAGTGTGATCAATTGTTTTATGTTTGAAAAGAGTGTTAAAAAAAGGAGTTGTGCTCAAATTCTCAATTGACACCATAACATTTAGTACATTGGAACAAGTAATGGAGTTATTACTTGAAAGTGCTAAACTTTGATGTTCCATTATTCAATATCTTATTCCAAGCACCTTCTTTAGCTATTTATTTCAGCGCTTACTGTTCTGTCAAATTACTCATATTTTGCAAGGATATTGTCATGCTTATTCGGTATTAAGTGTTTGTTTGATGGTCCATTCTACATCTATTTGGTTGCATAATTTAGCAAAGCAATTTATGCCCCACTCAGTGTTGTTGTATCTACTTACAATTCTATTATCCCATCCCAGGTAAATGTTATGGACACGCTTAGCAGACTGAGTCATGATGCGGATGCTGATGTGTCAATGGTTTGTATTCATAACTTTTTAACCCACGACATACCCAATATATTTTGTCCTAATTGATGGCTTACGTTTTATACCTGAATTAAATTTCTCTAGGCTGCAATCATTTCATTGGGTTTCATTGGTGCTGGTACAAACAATGCTAGAATAGCTGGTATGCTTCGCAATCTTTCAAGTTACTATTACAAAGAAGCTGCGCATCTGTTTTGTGTAAGTTAATAAATCCACAATGATCCTTTTAAACCTGTGCTCCATTCTGTTGTACCTGGTTGTATATAATGCGTACATATATTGACAAAATTTTGCATGTATTCAGGTAAGAATTGCTCAAGGACTTGTTCACCTTGGGAAGGGTTTGTTGACTCTCTCTCCATACCATTCTGACCGGTTTCTACTTTCCCCGTGAGTATAGCTAGTGCTATTTACATCTACTGTTTATTGCATTCAATATTAATCCTTCAATTTTTTGTTTGGGTGTAGAATGGCCCTTGGAGGCCTTGTTACTGTATTGCATGCTTGCCTCGATATGAAATCCACCATTCTAGGGAAATACCACTACATTCTTTACATTATCGTCTTGGCGATGCAGGTATGGTCCATTTAGTTAATTGACAGTTTTGTTGCTAGTGCAAACTACTATTTGGTACTAAAATTGAGTTCTCTTCTTGTATGTACAGCCTAGAATGCTTTTAACGGTGGATGAGGATCTAAAGCCCCTATCTGTTCCAGTACGGGTTGGGCAAGCTGTTGATGTGGTTGGTCAGGCTGGAAGGCCCAAGACAATTACTGGTTTCCAAACACATTCGACACCCGTATTGCTTGCAGCAGGGGAACGGGCTGAATTAGCAACCGAAAAGTAATAAGAGCTCAATTAACAATATGCCATTTCTACAAGTTTCCCCATGAAACCTAAAACCTGATCCGTTGTTTTACGTTTTGCAGATACATTCCGCTGACTTCGGTATTGGAGGGCTTTGTAATTCTGAAGAAGAACCCGGAATATAACGAGGAGTGAGGGACATTTCCAGGCTTGATACAATGCTGATTTCTGGGGCTCACAGGCGTGGCATACTAGGGAACCATGCTGCAACATGGGACAGGATCTTTGCCTATTGGGTTCCCTCCTCGGCGCCTCCTGGTGTTAATCGGATAGGTCTTTTATCTCTTCTACCGGAGTCTCGAGTGTTGGAGCAGAGCTCTTTGAATTCTGAAATCCTTTTTGGTTGTGCAATGACTGACGTGACGTATCACTTGTACCCAAACATGGGCATCTAGGAGTTGAACTGTTTCCTTTTACCTCCAGTTTATTTATCTGTATGTAGCAAAGTATGTACTGGAAATTTGAGGTCGAAGTATTATTCTTGATTTCCACAAGATCTCATCAAGGAAGCTGACATATTGGTTTCATGCTTATCTGTTATGGCAGCTGCCATTTGTTTTGTTGTCACTAGTATTAGTTTTTGGCACTTAGACCGCCATCTGATCAGATGATAAGTATTTCAGGTTATAAATGTTTATTTTTCAGGTCCTTAACAATAGAATTGCATCCTTGAAATCATTCGTCTCTACTAACAGAGTTTACATAGCTATGCAATGCATAGTTTTAAAACTAAAAAACTAACCGATGAATAGTTTTAAAACTAAAAAATTAACCGATGAATATGTATGTTTTAAAACTAACCGATGAATATGTATGTTTATGTATCCTGCATAAGAGCAGGATTAATGAAATAAGGGTTTTTATTAGGATAGCACTGAGAGCAAAGTATAATAGTATAGCCAACTATAATATAGTATCGATTCATACAATAGTTATCTATAAATATATATTACACTTAATATATAGTCTCATCTGTCATACATACATTGTATTTTACTTATATATAAATATATACTACACTATTAATATATAAACCCACTTGTTGTACATACATTATGTTCTAGAGTCCGTGTTGCATCTGACAATAAATTTATAGCCTGCCACTCCTCTTTTATCTTCTCGACTGCGTGCACGTTTTTTAAACTACTAAACGATGTGTGCTTTGCAAAAATTTTCTATATAAAAGTTGTTTTAAAAAATTATATTAATATATTTTTCAATAAATAAATAAATACTAAACGATGTGTGCTTTGCAAAAATTTTCTATATAAAAGTTGTTTTAAAAATTATATTAATATATTTTTCAATAAATAAATAAATACTCCCTCCATCCCTAAATGTTTGACGTCGTTGACTTTTTTAAACATGTTTGACCGTTCATCTTATTCAAAAAATTTAAGTAATTATTAATTATTTTCATATCATTTGATTCATTGTTAAATAAACTTTTATGTATATATAGTTTTATATATTTCACAAAAGTTTTTAAATAAAATAAAGGATCAAACATGTTTAAAAAAGTCAACGGCGTACATTTAGAAAAGAAGGGAATACTTAATTAATTACTAGTATGTGCTAATGAATCACTCTCTGTGCTGAGGAAACGAGTTTCCAACACAAGGAAACGAACGCACTCGAGTCTACTAGTACTACTCGTTAGAGTGGATAATCAGGGGTGTAGTCTTGGCCGAAGTTATAACGGCGCGACTTGTGCTTGACGACGCGGAGCTTCCCGCCACGGCCGCGTACCACCTCCACGCCGGTGAGCATGGCGAAATTTATTTCACCCCTTTCTCTGCGATCAACACTGAACATCTTGGCGACGCACAGCTTGCCGCCGCCCAGGTGGACGACCTGCGATGCGTACACCTCCAACTCCCTCCTCCTCCGGTCGTCGCTGTGGCTCTCCACCGAGAACCCCTTCACCTGGAGGCTCGCCACCGGCGGCTGCGGCTGCTGGAACGCGGAGGACAGATTCCACGCTCCGAGAATGGTGCCATCCATGTCGGAGATGCCGAACCAGAGGCCGTGCTCGGGGACGTGCTCGGCGCGGCCGCGGAAGGGCAGCTCCCAGTCGCCGGCCTTGCTCCACGCGGAGCTCGCGGTGTCGAAGGAGTAGGTGCCGTTGGTCGTGGTGGATATCAGGATGTGCGTGCCGCCGTCGCCGTAGGTCATTGTAGGTCGTGGTGGATATCAACACCCGCTTCTTAGCATGCAGTTAAGCCATGGATATAGAATCAGCAACTGGTCGCAGGCAACGTATAGGAGGGACGGGTACTGTCATAGAACTGAACCTGGATCTAAGTATTTGATCGTTCAAACGCACAGGATATATCACCAGTATTTCCCTAGGACACTCCCAGCTATGATGTGGGGAATGGTGGCTCTACGTCAGCACAAGGTGATAGATTTTGACAGGTTATTCAAATGAGGGGAACGGCTAGCCAGGTAAAGGTCAGCAGTTCATTCCCCTTTCATTATAGTAGGTCATTGTGCTCTCTGATCTCCTGTAGTACATGAAACAAGATTTTACTAACTGAAATACCTTTTGCTTTGCTTGGTATAGGTATATCTTGGGAGACAATTGCATAGCTTCTCGATGAACCACCCTGTTCCTGTTGCTTTGACAGGGACAACGTACAGTTGATGTTCGGTTCACACTCAACAGTCCTGTTCCTGTTTTCTTTGACAAGGACAAAGTACGGGTTGATGTTCCGTTGACACAGTAGTCAATTCGCAGTATCTGTACTGCAGGCATACAAATTCGATGTCAAAGCCCCATGCTCTGTGGTTACATTGCCTTTGTTAGTACATCTACCACTGTTCATTTTACTAACTGCTAGTAAAAACATCTAATGGTATCAGATTGTCAGTTTTGGAAGAATGATTACACAGAATTAAGTTTGGTGTTTTGTTTGGTTTATAGCCTTAGTTAAAATATTTCTGTAAGCCAAATACGAGCGTTGCAAAATTTGTGACGAAGTTAGGTTTGTTGCCAATTTTTCTTGGTAAAATTGCTTTGAGCATTGTTTAATTTGAGATCAATTAGAGACTAAACAATGTACACTACCATTTCATTTTCTGTTGGCAACAAACCAAATGTGTTTGCCAAATTGCATTACCCTTGCAAAAGAATTGATAAGATTCATATTTGTGCATCAATCCAAACAATTACTGGATCAATTCAACCTCAAGTTTTTTTCCCTGCCTTTATTCTTCGGGTCACTCTCCGGCCCGGTGCCTCTATCTTAGTCAGGCTTTAGGAAAACTAGATAATGGGTTTGTCGATGCAGCATGCATCGTTAAACAACATTGACTCCCATGATCTGCACCTGTGGCGAAAACAAGACCAAAGAGGCAAAGATTGTCGCATCAAATGCAAATTTAGAGACTTTTTCTCCCTTCGTTCTAACATGGTGAGTCATTCGCTTGATCTGAAAATATAGCATAGAGCAAATCTGGTTGAATGCAAATGTCCACATGCCATGGGCACAGTTAGCTGACAAGAAGTGCCTGGCAGACAGTAGATAATTACATGCCATTTTCACATCCATATTCACAAAGATAATGCACTGGCAACAGTATACACTAGACTGCAAGATGAACTATACTTCCCATAATCATTTTCCATCATAGTAAGTAACTACAGACATAGCTGTTACTTGAACAATGACACAAATATGATACAATACACAAGGATAAGAAGAGCCTTATAGTGTCTACGTTGTTTGACAGAAACGTGAATGTGTAAATGAAATTTGAAAGAACATTGTTTGAGTAATTCAGCTGTCAGACACGTAAAAGTTAACAACATCCAATGATATGGAAGGGCACGTACTGCTTGTATCAGCACATTCTTTAGAGAGACCTACCAAACCTAATCAACAAATCAGGAAACTTCAGATTAGAAAAATTAAGGTCGAAAAGAAGCATATGTGCAATGATTGGCATGATCACAACATCACACTGCCTATCAGAACTTTATAAATGACAATCTCCAACTATGTAGATTTATTTTTCTGCTTGTGTGCCTTAGATACAATAGTTTCAGTTATACACGGTGTCCATATCACAGTCCAACATCACGAAATGACCAATTGAAAAGGATATGTAGTATCTAATTACAATACCATGCTGACACCAATAGGTTCAAACATGAACTGAAACGTCATATTGATATGCATACTTAATATAAAAATTTAACCTCTCCTCAAAAAAATATATATATAAATTTAACCTTATTCCTAACAATGTTTTGTGACTTCAACAATAAACTGAGGACTTGAGATGGAGATGAAAAGACAAGGAATCATTATAGACTCACAGGAGATAGTACCAGGCAATATTGGCATGTTGTACTTGGATCTAACGCAATGTAACTGAATTATGAGGAAAGAATTATGCAGAGGCATTCATTGAAATAATGCATGTGATATACTCATTGAAAAGTATATTAGAGTAGGATGCACAGCTAAACTTGTAAGTTACAATGGAGCAAAAGAAAACAAACCCCACCTTCAAAGAGCCTTGCTAAGATCCATAGTGTTTCCCAAAGTTATCTAGTATATAACCTTTCTTGAAGTTCACTGACTAACTGTCCTTAAAGAAAAGACTACATTGATCAAGGATTTGTGCCAGACAAATTTCAGTATGACTTTCTTCAAGTTATAAGTACATCGACAACAGTGACTAAATGTTTTGGAGTGCCATAATCAATAGAGAGAAAAAAAAATAATTCACTAGAGACTATTTTCATTTTAGTACCAATATGATTTTTGTTAAGGGGGTGGAGTGTATGTTAACAGTTTTTTTGCCCAATGATGATTTAAGCATTGTGTTTTTCTCATCGTCAATACTACATGCATTTATGCAGCCTGTTAAAGGAATGAAAATTATAGAGAGACGAGCTAACCCGCATGGCCACATATGCATCATCAAGGAAGCTGACATATTGCTTTCAGGCTTATCTGTTATGGCAGCTGCCATTTGTTGTCACTAGTATTAGTTTTTGGCACTTAGACTGCTATCTGATCAGATGATAAGTATTTCAGGTTATAAATGTTTTTTTTTCAGGTCCTTAACAATAGAATTGCTTCCTTGAAATCATTCATCTCTACTAACAGAGTTTACAGAGCTATGCAATGCAGAGTTTTAAAACTAACCGATGAATATGTATCCTGCATAAGAGTAGGATTAATCAAATAAGGGTTTTTATTAGGACAGTACTAAGTAGGAGTACTCTACTAGTTAGAGTAGATAATCAGGGGTGTAGTCTTCGCCGAAGTTATAACGGCACGACTTGTGCTTGACGATGCGGAGCTTTCCGCCACGGCAGCGTACCACCTCCACGCCAGTGAGCATAGCGAAATTTATTTTACCCCTTTCTCTGCGATTAACACTGAACATCTTGGCGACGCACAGCTTGCCGCCGCCCAGGTGGACGACTTGCGATGTGTACACCTCCAACTCCCTCCTCCGGTCGTCGCTGTGGCTCTCCACGGAGAACCCCTTCAACTGGAGGCTCGCCACCGGCGGCTGCGGCTGCTGGATCGTGGAGGACAGATTCCACGCGCCGAGAATGGTGTGATCCATGTCGGAGATGCCGAACCAGAGGCCGTGCTCGGGGACGTGCTCGGCTTGGCCGCGGAAGGGCAGCTCCCAGTCGCCGGCCTTGCTCCACGCGGAGCTCGCGGTGTCGAAGGAGTAGGTGCCGTTGGTCGTGGTGGATACCAGGATGCGCGTGCCGCCGTCGCCGTCGCCGGCCACCGCGTACCCGCAGATCATGCCGCGGGAGGAGCCTTCGAAGCCGGCGGCGTAGGCGTTCACGCACGGGGACGGCGGCGGCGGCGGCGGCGGCAGGGGTTGCCAGAGGTAGTTGTCCCCTACCTCCCACTTGTCGGAGTCGGACTCGGCGGGATTATCCTCGAGGCGTACGAGCGCCTCGAAGCAGCCGGCGCCGTCGGGGAGGGGCGTCGTCTCCATGACGTACAGGTCGTCGCCGACGGCGGCCGAGACGGGCATGAGCTTGGGCGCCGCGAGGGCGGGCAGCGTGCGGACGGCGCGCGCGGCGGGGTCGTAGAGGACGGCGCGGCCGGTGTGGTCGATGCCGACGATGCTGCCGTCGTTCCTGCGCATGAACTCCATGCCCATGGCCGTCGCCGTGGTGCCCGGGGAGCAGAAGGCCATGGCGGGTGGAGGCAGGCGAGCGTCCTCCACCTCCACCGTCGCTCGCTCCGGTTTCGTTGCTAGTGGATGGCCATCGGGGTAGAAGAGATGTGATGGGTTGACTCGCCGTAGCCTGTGGGAGAGGGAGGGGCCTGTAAAGCAGTGGTCAGCAATGTACAAGAATCGCCGGATCATCCTCTTCCCTGCTGCCAATGGCGGCCGCCGGCGGCGATGGCGACGGCGACGGCGGCGGCGGCGACGATGGGGATCTTGGCTAGGTTTCCACCCGTACAAGGGCGTGAACGATTAGGAAAGGTATACTCATAGATTACTTACTCGTGGGCCGTATCCTAATCCAGCATCGCGTGTTTGGCCCACCACACTCGTGGGCCGGCCCGGCTGGAACGGGGCCTCGTAGCAACAGCTCTGACGCACGTGACCTCTCTTTCTCCTCGAGCGCAGCTGCGCAGGTCGACGACCCGGGCTCCGCCGCCGCCGCCTCGCCTCGCCGCCGGCGCGCTCGCTCGCTCGGCTGGTCCGCGTAGTGGGCTGCCTTCCATAGTCGGCTCTGGAGGAGTTTTGAGGGAGGGAGGCGCAGGCATGGGCGAGGAAGAAGAAGACCCCGACTGGCTCCGCGCGTTCCAGGTAACCATCTCTTCTCCTCCGCCTCCCGTGGCCGTGTGATGTGCCCTAGCTAAATCCTGCCAGGTCTCCGTGGGAATAAGGTCCATCCTGCCGAGCGGTTTCGATTTACCCATTTTTCTCTGTGGATTTAAGTTGAGAATTGAACTGAATTAGTGGGCGCGCTAATAAGTTTGATCTATGTCATTTCACAAAATGGCATTCCGTGTTGTGCTTCTAGGCTATGTGTTAAATATGCTTTGTGATGTTCGTGAGAATTTCGTGCTCTTTGATAATCCTTCGCACAACTCGATGCGAATTTTCGGTATTCAGAAAACGTTGTTTGTACATGTGTTTAACAACTTGTTTACTTGGTCTATGCCAATGGTTTTGCTAAACGGTCCCGCTATGGTATCGCCGATTCCTAGTTTAAACACAACGAACACATGTCTTGATTTTGGTTCCGATGTCCGATAGGCTCCGATGTGAGGCAGCAAGCATGTTCTGTATCTAGTACTTGTTACACTTTCTGTTCTTGGTACAACTTCTCTGGCTTTCCAAGATTGTGACTTGTTATTGGTGATAATATCACCAATTTTATTTTGCATAATTTTTCGTAGCCACCAACTACATCGACGGTGATGCTTTCTTCGGGCTCCGATGATTCTCCTGAAAACAGTCCTACAAGGACTACACCATCTGGAGAAGAACAAAAGGGGGAAAACAAGGCTAGTTCAGACCATGCAGGGGATGGAGATGCTGCTGCACTAAATAAGGGCAAAAAGGCAACACCTACTAGGAGGAAAACCCCTACTAGTCAAGAAGGTATCATTAGTTTACTACTCCCTCCATCCCAAAATATAACAACATCTAGCCTTCATAATTTGCCCTAAAATATAACTTCTTCTCCACATACATTCTCTTCTTAGCCAATCGCAACTTTCCACCATTCAAATCCCTTCCTACCTCCTCTTCTCAATCAATCACAACATTCCTCTATTTAATTCCACCATCTTTCTTAATGCCTGTATTCAACCCTAAAACTCATATTTTGGGACGGAGATAGTAATATTTATTATTTTGTTATGACAAACTTCCAAACTAGTATCTCCTTTTTATTCACTTTCTGATCTATTTTCTCTTCATGGTTGCCTATAGATGCTTTCGACAAAGATGAGAAACCAACCATGGAATCAAATCAAGATAAGCCTCCAAAACGCTCGGTAACTACTATAATTCTTATTTTGTTCTTAATTGTTTAATCCCTGTTCGTGGTACCTCGCCATCTGGTTTCTAATTAGTTATGCTGCTGATATGTGATATGCCCATGTAAAAAGAACAATTTAAAAGATCTATAGATAGATTACGAGCTATCCAAGTTCGAATGAGGTTCAGCAGATTCCCTTTTTTTCTCAAGATGCTTTATTCCTGATGTAACACCCTGAAAATTCGACCGACGAAATCTAAACTCTAAAAATACGGACCTTCAAAAACTTTTTAAATAAAGTTGCATCATGCCGATTTTGTTCCATTATTTTAATGAATTTTGATCTCGGAGTTTATAAATCGCGAATAATGGAAAATTAGTTAGGAGAAAACCCTAAAAAGTAAATTGACTAAGTAAATAATTAAAGAGCAATTTAAAATAATATTTAGAGAGGATAGAAATGAGTAAAATATTATTGGGACTATATTTGTATCAATTAAATTAAAAAATGTAGGAATAAGAATTAAATCTAATTAAATTCAAGAAAATGATATAAAAATAAAATATGGGTAAAATTAACCAGGGATGGATCCATTGGTTGGGATAACACACATATTGAGTAAAATGCATATATGTAAAATTAGGAATTTTTAGAATCAAATTTATATGGGGAATAAATTAAAATCGGGATAAATGGGAAAAATGGGAAAAGTCACTATTCATTGCCCGCCAGGTGCTCGAGTGCGTCCCCTATCTCTGCCCCTCTGTCCCGTCGCCGTCGCGCCCGCGCGCCACGCGCCCGGCGCCCTAGCCGGCCTTGCGCCCCGCGCCGCCGCCGCCCGCCGCGTCGCCGCTGCCGTGCCGCGCGCCGTCACGTTGCCTCGCACCCCGAGCCGCCGCGCGCCGTCACTTCGCCGCTGCTGCGCCGCGCAACCATCTCGCGCCCCGCGCGTCGCGCGCCGCTCTGCCTTCCCTCTGCCGCCGCCGCTGCGCCGCGCGCCGTCGCGTCACCCGTCTCGAGCCCCGCACCGCCGCGCGTCGCGTCGCCCCGCCTGTCACGCCGCTCGCCGCCCCGAGCCCCGTGCCGTCGCATCGCCGTCGCCACCGCGTCGCCGTCCCATCGCGCCGCGCACCGTCTCGTCGCCACTACCGAGCCGTCGTCGTCGTCGCCTCGCACCCCGTGCCGCGCCGCTTCCCCGAGCCCCGTGCCGCCGCTGATACCGCGCCGCGCCGCCCGTTCCATCGCCGCGCGCCGTCACCGTCCGGCCGTCGCGTCGCCTCGCGCCTCGCGCCTGCGCGCCGCTCGCCCGTTCCATCACCGCGACGCGAGCCTGCCGCCTCGCGCCCCGCGCCGCTGCCGTGAGCCGTCACCGCGCGTCGACGTCGCCGCGCGCGTCCCATCGTCGCTCCGAGCCGCGCGCCGCCGCTGCCGAGCCGTTCCCATCGCCGTCCCCTCGCCTCTGCCGCGCCGCGCCAATGTCGCCATCGCCATCGCCGCGGGTCGCCGTCGCCTTGCGCCTCGCGCCCCGCGTCGCCGTCGCGTCTCCCTTCTCCTTTTCCCCCCTTAGCTCTTCCCCTCCCCTATATAAGCCTCACTATTTCCCCCTCTTCCCCTCCATCTCCACCCCTCTCCTCTACCCACACTACCGCGCCGCCGCCTCCACGCCGCCGCGCCGTCGCACCGCCGCCATCGTGCCACCGCGCCGCCGCCCTCGTGCTGTCGTGCCGCCGCGTTCGTGCCCCCGTGCCGCCGCCCCAGAGTGCCGCACCGTGCGCCGTCGTCGCCGCCGCCGCCGCCGCCGTCGCCGCCGTCGGTGAGCCGCTGCCCCCCCTCCCTCTTTCTTTTGTCGCCGAGCCGAGAGAGAAAGAGAGAAGCCGAGGGAGGAAAAGGAGAGGAAGGAAGGAGGAAGCCGGGAGGAAGGAAAGAAAAAGAGAAAAGGAAGAAAAGAAAAGAAAAGAGGAAAAGAAAAGAGAGGAGAGGAAAAAGGAAAGAAAAGAAAAGAGAAGAAAAGAAAAGAGAGAGAGAGAGGGAAAAGAAAAGGGAAAAATTTAGGGGGAAATTTAAAATACTTACAAATATTAGAATTTAATTGTAGGATTAATGAAAATATAGTTAGATGAAATCTTACTAATTAAATACCTAAAATACTAGCATTTAAATATAGGATTAATGAAAATATAATTGGATGAATTCATATAGATTATAGATAATTTCTAGTACTCTCCATAAGAAATCAATTCGCGGTATTAATTTAGATGTAATTAATAATTAAACAAATGTATGAATTCTCGTAAATTATTGTGGATTATTTCTGGGTAATCTCTATAAATAATCGATTAACGGTAGCAATTCGGATTTAATCACTAGGATGTTAGCCGTGTATTATATTTAATCATAGACTAAATTAAGTCGTATAATATTCTGGGATTTCGTCCGATGTTTAGCTCGCGATAGAAATTTCTAACCTATTAATTGATATGTTACTCGGGTAGGTTAAGTTAAAAACTCATGACCACAAAATATTTATACTCGCAAAATAGTTTAAATCGAAATTGGGTTGGCCGTAGTCCGCGGATAGTGAAGTTAACAAAAGGGAATCGACTTTCGCATGCGACTTTTATTTGGATTCATTTGGATTTTTATTTGAATTCTAACCGAATTCAAATCAATTCTTGCACGTAACTATAGAGCCCGAGGGAGTTGCAGATCCAAGCGAAGGCCAAGACCCGCAAGACTTTGAGCAAGGCAAGTCATCACTATTCTTTGAACATGTTGATCCCAATTGCGAAATGGTTTTGTTTATAAATAAAATTGCATGCAATGATGAACACCCTACTTGTGATTATGCCATGCCTTGATTATTGTTTACCCTTGAATCCTTGTAACCATGTTTACGTATGAGTCCCTAGTCAACTATGACAATTGCTTAGAAATGCTATTCTAGAATCATGCATACTCATATTTATCAAATGCTATATGCTTGGGCAATTACCTTTGGGAAGGTAATTGAGATGCGGCATGTGGAGACATGAGCGCCACATTGCCATGATGTTGATGACATGATTTGTGAAAGGAGAAATAAAATTAAACAACTGTTTTCGACTGGGGCGGACGGAGGATTTGGGTGGTATCTGGAAAAGGCTAGTACCGTCCCCGGTCAATTAAGGACCGAGCCATGAAGTTAAGCATGAAACGACCCCCGTACAACCGTACTTCTCGAATGGGTATAGACCTAGCGGATTAGATAGCCGAGCGGAGGCAGTACCCCTGCATAGTGGTTTCTTGATGTGTGAGGCAGGGGCTCTACGGTGGGGCAGCCATTGGTAGAACCGCGAGGCGGGTGTCTACAGTGGTGTCGCCATCAGTAGGACTGCCTTATGAGAACCTAAAACATAATTATAACTTAATGCATGTGTGAGTCTTCCCTTCCCGGGTGCGCCAGAACTCCTCTCACTGCTAGAAACCGTGTACGCCTAGAGTGCATGAGGATGAAAAGTTCATGGAGCGGGTACTGCCAATGCGAGGTTATCGAAAAGCTTTGCCGTGACGCGTCTCATGTGTTGGGACGAGGCTCATGTGTTGAGCAGTCGCGGAGTGCGGGTAAAGTGTACATCCACTGCAGTGTGAGTAAACCAAATCTATTCGAATAGCCGTGCTCGCGGTTATTGAGCACCGGGACATGTATTACACTTGGCTAGACTCTAAACTCTTAACTTGTGTGGGATGGGATATTGCATGATGATTTTTATGCTGATGGAGCCATTTCCTGAGAGGTGGAAATATGGACATCCTCAGAAAACCATAACGACTCAATGGCGGGAAGCTATCCTTGGGATCACAATGGATGGTGGACAGAACCGTCATTGTTTAATATGAATACTGGTATTAAAACTTGATCAGTCTATGCTAGGTCTTAGGCTTGCGAAAAGAATTACAAAACTTGCTTTGTGCAAAAGAACCATAGCCATCCTTTGAATTCCCCTGTCATGTGCATCATTGCTGTGGTGGCTTGCTGAGTACGGTTGGTACTCACCCTTGCAATTATAAAATTAATCAGAAGCGGGAGATGAAGCCACGGAAGATCCTTATGCCTACTACCAGGAGGGAGACGAAGATGATGGCGTCCAGTAGGTCTTAGTACGGTCGTTGCCTGTGGCAATGGCATGCCGCTGCCTAAAATTCCGCTGCCTTATCTAAACTCTGCTTTTGGTTGTATTCCAGACCGCTCGGTCTGATGATTTAAGACAATGCCTGCGGGCTTATGTTGTAATAATTCGTACTAGACTCTCGTGTATGAGCATTGGTATTCCAGTTATGAAATCGTGTGTACCAGACTACTTGATCCAGGGAAATGGTACAGTTTACACGAGTGATTCCTGTTATAAAAACGGGGGTCTACACCTGATGTCAACAATACTACTTGAATCTTATCTTACAACTGTTCTACATTATTTGTTATTGATCGTCAGATAATGCTACTGTTATATTTAATACTGACTTCATTGTACATATTACTTAGTTGCAAACACCAGGTCCACTCTTTTGTTAATTCTATGCCTAAATTTTTTGTACAGACTCCAAAGAAGAAGTTGGTTAAACCCCCATCTGGTTCTAATGCTTCAAAGGTTACTGGACCAAAAGCTGGTCCAGATCAAATAGATGGTAAGACTAATGAAAAGCTTTGGTTGCCTTTTAGTGAAAAGTCAGTTTATGAATTCTTAGTTTCAATGATTGATAATTATAGTCATGGTCATGCATAGATACCTTGGAACATCAAGAAGAGGGAGTTGCTGAAGAAGACATGCAGGATAAACTTACAGAGCACTCTGTAAGATGCCTCAACTTCCTTCTATTTTTAATCTATTTTTTCCTCCACACTACGGTTCCAGAACATTGAGAGCATTGACCCAAACAAGGAGCAAAGAAAACAAAATTAGAGCCCACATCTTACTGGGAATATCCCAACATGTGTCATTTTTGTTATTGCATTATATTGAACTAATGAAAGTTGGGTAAATCCTTTTAAGAAGGTATAGGAAAATATGAAAATAAACATCATTTTGTAAATATTTATCAAGCTCCAACCGATTAGTTCTTTCCTTGATTACCGTAATTTTTGTAGAGCATGATGGCGTGTCTTGTTATTCCTTTAACTAGTTACGTCAATATGTCTGAGATATCTTATGGACTGTAAGCTCTTATGCGTTCCAGGTCTCCCAGAGGTTGCCATTAATCATTCCTGATAAAATTCAGCGTTCAAAGGTATGATAATTCTAACTGGCATTATCAATTAGAAACCATTGTTCTCATAAAAGGGTCAGTGTGTCAAATCATAAGTCCGGAATGCAATGAGCAACTCTGCTATCACCCCCCCCCTTTCCCATATTTTCTTCATGGAAAAATATCGGTCAACTTAACATTGGTGGAAAGAAATTGTACAATTAATAGAAATACCGCAGTGACAGAGCCATAAATGAGAAATGGTTGGGGCCCTTTTTAGTGCACCAGGAGTTAGAAGGAGTATAGGCTATATATATTAAAGAGCCATAGATCCTTGATAATCCACCAAAATGTGTTATATGTGCTAAAATGCAGTAAAATCAACATCTTGACCTCTGCAAGTATCATCTACCTGGAAGACTGGGAATCATGACTGACCCAATCAATGATAGTTTCCCTAAGTTTATAAATTATAATCCTATAATCCTTGTTCTGTTTATTTCTAGGCATTGATTGAATGCGATGGTGACTCGATAGACTTAAGTGGAGACGTTGGAGCTGTTGGGAGGATAATAATTTCAAACAGTCCTAACGGAAATCAGGAATTGTTATTGGACCTAAAAGGTACCAGCAAGTCGATTTCTTTAGTATCATTTATGTATTATGCACTTTGGTTTCTGACTAGGCAGGGTATTTTTACCAACAAGGGATTTGAAATTAATGTCCGTGTTATCTTACTACATGCACTATTCAAAATACTTTACCCATATTATTATTATTTTTACTTATATACTTACACAGGAACAATATACAAATCAACAATTGTTCCATCCAGGACATTTTGCGTTGTAAGTTACATTCAAACTTAAAGTACAGTTGTGCATTTGCCTTATTTGTTAGTATTGATCTTAAATCCTTGATGGACTGTCTCTTTTTCTCAGGTCAGTGTAGGACAAACAGAAGCGAAGGTTGTCGATGATAACATAAATCTCTTATGAGTATTTGACTTCTCCATAATTTTTAGTTTAGGCAGTTCTACTTTCTAGTATGTAGCGTGCTATTTTTGCTACTAAATCCGATTAAAATATATTATTCTGATGGATGTAGCTGCTTACCTTATTCAACCATTTTTCCCCTTTTGCAGATAGAGTCTATCATGGATGACTTTATTCAATTGGAACCCCAATCCAATTTATTTGAAGCAGAGACTATGATGGAAGGTTAGCATTCTTCTAGATGGTCTAATTAGAAATCTTCAGCCCATATATCCTACTGTTTCTGACCTATAAAGCTGAGCAGCAAACTGCGCGCCAATAAAAGCAGCACATCTTATCTTTCTTTAATGGAGCTATTAAGCAATGCATTGTCATTTGACAGTGTAGTCAGGAACAGTCATTCTGCATGAAGTGATGACTAATGACCCTATCATTTGATATGATGATAACATCTGCTGCAATGGTTATTTTCTAATACTCCAGGCATGTTATCTTTATAGGTACCCTTGATGGATTCACATTTGATTCTGACGAGGAGGGTGACAAGCTTCCTGAACCGCATGCTTCTCAAAACGATCAAAATAATGAAGATGGGGATCAACCTAAGGCAAAAACCAAAAGAAAAGCTGAGAAACCGGCAGTATGTTCTCTCCTACCCTTTTAATGATCCTATAAGCTTCTTTTCAGTTTCTTTTCTATTACCATTATGCCATCTCAGAATTTAAAACTGATGATGGCACATGTTAGCACTGTTGCAGGAACTAAGTTAATAAGGAACGTACCCAAAATCACATCTGGAGCACCTTGAGCTTCTGCAGCAGCAACATGATTGACACGGGCCTTTGATGCTGGTGCGGTAGAGTTGCTCTGGGCAGGGACAATCTTCACGCGTCGGGGCTTCGGACACTTGTCAGCGTAATGTCCTGGGTCTCCATAGTTGAAGCACACCCCGGGCTTGATGCCTTGCTCCTTCTTGGCAGGTTGTTGCTGTGTCGAAGCTGCAACAGGGCGTGGAGCTTGATTGCGGATGTTGTTGCCCGCGTTGTTGTTGAAGAACTGACGCTGCGGACGAACAACAGACGAAGAACCTCCCTGTGGCATGGACTGGGGTCCTAAAGTAAGACGCGGCCTCTGACTATTCCCCTGTTGTGCCTTGAAGTGAGCAATCCGGCGTTTCTTCCGCTCCATGCGATTTGTCACGCCCTGAAGTTCCCCTCCCTTGCTCTAAATTCATAAAATAAATCGTTCGAAGAAATTGTTTAATTTAACCTAGAGATGAATCCCTAATTAATAAATGCAAATAATAATCGGAATCGGCATGTGGAATTTTCTTGGATTCTACATGTCAAAATATGCTAACAGGATTTTTAGTGGAATTTTCAGAGCCTTGGAAATAATTTTAATCAATTAAAATAAGCAAAGTGCAATATTAAATCCCTGGAAAAATCCTTTTTCCTTTTTATCTTTTCTTTTCCCTCCTTTTTTCTTTTTCTTGGGCCCGGCCCATTTCCTCCCGCGCCGGCCCGCTCCTCCCTCCTACTCCTGAAGTTCACCCGGCCTCCTTCTCCCTCTCGGGCGCTGACAGGTGGGGCCCACCTGTCAGCCCTTTCCCTAACCTCCGACCGCCCACGCCCGCGCCAACCGCCGCCGAAACCACCACCCATCGCCGCCCGCCTCCCCCGCCTTCCGCGCCCCACTCCGCGCCCCGGGCCACGTCGCCCACTTCCTCGCACGCCCCGCCCTCCCCGCGCCCACGCCCCACTCCCGCTCACCCCCGCGCCCGCGAGATGGCCAGGATTCGATTTGAATCCCGCCTCTCTCTCTCTCCTCCTCCACCTCCTCCACTACTCCGGCGAAATTGCGCCGTTCCCGGCCACGACTCGCCGCCCCCCTCCTATTTAAGCACGCCCGCACCTTCCTCTCTCTTTTTCCTTTCTCGGTCGAGCCCTCCCGAGCTCTCCATCGCTCCCGCGCCTCTCATCCCGCCCTCCGCCGCTCGCCGCCAAGCTCCGGCCGCACTCCGCCACCGCTAGAGCCGTCGCCGCACTGCGCTGTCGACGCCGCCGGGTTCGCAAGCTTGTGCGCCACCCCGTCCGCCATTGATAACTTGGGTATTAAAATGACTAGATGTTGGTTTAGGAGATGCTTAGCCATGCTTAGTTCAACTAGTGCACAAAAGGGGATCACATTAAAGCATAGACTTTGATTATTGGCAATAGCTTTGGATTAGTGCCACCGCAATGGTGTTGGTTAATTAAAATACACTACATGGTGGGCTGTGGGTGCATGGTTTTGCTAGTCGTGCCCATGGCGACTAAGGACCGGTTCGCGGGATGCCCTGGAAGAACTTATCGTACTTACCACAAGCCAGCGTGGGCAACGGCTGGGCTTGTAGTGTAGCTTTTCTCTAGCCGACGTACCCAGGCGAGGGTGGGCGTGATGGAGTTGGGTCGGCCGGGGTGTCCGGTTGATCGGCTTCCGGATTCACCGCGGCACGAAAGGGGGGCTGCCCGTTGCCTGCTGGGGACGGGGGCGAACCCTAAGGTGTGGTGCGATCGGTTAGAGGGGGTTATGCGAAGGGTCCTGTCACGGCCTCTTTCCGGTATGTCGTGGTGGCATGTCGGCGCACGGGAACGTGTCGTGGGGCTGTGTCTTGTGGGTACAGTTGTACACCTCTGATCAGAGTAAAACTATTCGAATAGCCGTGCCCGCGGTTATGGGCGGTCGACCAGATTCACCGTGATTAGTTTCACCCTAGTTAGCTTTTGGAACTGGTTAGTTCAGGTGGTGGTTTGGGCCTGTTGCAACGTGGTGTAACGTTGGACAGTGATTGGTTAATATGGATTAATTACTACTACTGTTTTACTGCTTTCAACTACTGCTTTGAAATGCCGGCTTTATGCAAAAGAACCTTTAGCCTCCCTTGGATATACCCTGCATCATACCCCCCCTCTTCCGGTATGACTTGCTGAGTACAGTGGGTAGTACTCAGTCTTGCTCTCTTTTCCCCCTCACCAGAGTTGAAGTTCTTCTCAGTTGGAGATGTCTTGAAGAGGTTGGTTTCGTCGCTGCCGTCAAGGGTTGCCTGTGGAATGGAATCGCCCGCTGCAGGAGTCAAGTCTTCAGGCTTAGCTCGCTTTACCTTTTCCGCTGCATTTGTAATCTTTTATATTTTTGTAAGACGTGAATCTGTATGTCAACAATTGTCGTTTGTGTACCCTGGCTGGTCCTGGACAGGGGTTTAATACACATTCAGCTTAGAAATTCTGGTTCGTGAATTCCTGGGCGTGACACGATTGTACTTGTCCTCCTGGCGAATAGCCTTATCCACTAACTTCTGGAAATCATGATAATCCCCAGTCATGAGTGGGTAAGAAAGCTCATCATTAAGTCCTTCCAAGAACCTCTCCTGGCGCTCTTCATCAGTGCGCACATCTTCCGGAGCATAACGAGCCAGACGATTGAACTCGTGCAGATACTCGGTGACCGTGCGAGATCCCTAGGTGAGCGACCTGAATTCCTTCTTCTTGAGAGACACCACTCCCGATGGTATATGCGTCTTCCGGAAAGCAGCGGGGAATTCAAGCCAAGTGATAGGTTCAGCGGTAGTCCTGTTAAGGCGGAAGTGATCCCACCATTCAGAGGCAGGGCCATGCAGCTGGTGTGATGCAAACGAGACCTTCTCTTGATCAGTGCACTGAAGCAAATCCAACTTCTTTTCTATGGCATGCAGCCAATCACCAGCTTCAACAGGATTAGTGGTGCTAGAGAAAGTGGGCGGCCTCACACGAAGAAATTCTGCTAACTTGTTCTGGGGAGGTGCATAGTTATTTCCCTGGTTCTGCTGGTTCTGGAGTTGCTGCATCATCATGTTCATAAGCTGTGCCTGTTGAGCCAGGACTTGGGCAAGTGTGGGATTCTCTCCATTGTTGTTGTTATTGTTGATGTTGGGGCCATTCCCGTCGCTGCGAGTGAGCACCATCTGGCATGGGCAGGAGCACAAGAAGAGAAACCGGGGAAAACTACTTAGGACAGAGAATTAATTTAACTTTTATTGATCTTAAGTGAGTTTCATTATTACAAAACTGAAGACTCTCACACCACTAAACTCACCAACTACCTAACACTCGAAAACAAACAAACGCATGCACTTACATCCCACCACTGATGTAAATCACATGCGAGAAACACACAACCAAACTTAAAACAAGCAAACTAACACAACGATCTAAGACAACGGTTTGACAAGGCATTCTAGGTCTTCCGGGCATCGGAGTTGATTGAAGGCTCGTTCGGCTCGTCTCCATCATCTTGAGTGGCTCCCCACTCGATCTTGGAATGGGTGCGCTTGGATTCTTCTCCTTCATCATCACTTACGTTGACGACCGGAGGATCCGCTAGGGCTGGGGTAACTTCTTTCTCCACCACACGGACCTTTGGCGCCAATTGGTAGCGAGGGACAAATAGAGCTCTCTTCCTTGCGGTAAGACGAATCCTGGCCTTCTGCGGTGGTGCTTCTCCCTTCAATGCGGCTAGTTCCTTCTCCAAACGATCCACTTTGTCCTCTAGCTTGCAAATCTTACCACGATTCTGGTCTTCACGATCTTGAGCCGCTAACACAGTCTTCGCACGGGTTTCATCCATAGCCCACAGCATCTCAACCAAATGCCTTGTGGTAGCATCATTCTCAATTCCCTCAGTCTCAAGGTAGCTGCCATGGTCACTTCCCTGTGGTTGGCGAGGATGGTAGCGATAAGGTGTCGGCCAACTGATCACTGTAGCGATCGCGGAGCTCTCCTATGGCGATCCTTGCCACCTCCTGACATGCATGGATGTAGTTTCCTCCTCCAGCTTCGAACATCACTGAGGAGATATCTTCACTATTACTGTTCAAGGTGACTTTGACTCGGCACTTCTTTTCGTGACGATCGTGAGGAATCTGGGCATACAAAGGGGCAGTCCCAAATCCTATGGCAAAGGACATCGTACGCAACTCCTGGACAAATCCCTCAACACCAAACAAGTACTCAGGCTTGTAGCGCGGCATCTAAAGACAAGTGAAAGGAGGGAGTTAAGACATTTATCCAATTAATAGCACAAGTTTTTGGATTAATTTGAATAAAGTTAGAAAATCAAAGTAAAAGGTAAGTAAATAAAGTAAACCAAGCTTGCAAGATAAGTTGAAACAGTTGGAAACAAGGTCACAAATTTTGTACTTTTGAACAACAGGTTCCAAAAGAAATAAAAGAAAGTTATAAAATCAACATGCTAAATTTATTTCATTGCAGCAAGATTAAATAAAACAATATTGTAAAACTTTTGCTGGTAAATGAGCCATTAGTACAGTAATAGATGTACAGTACTAATAACACTGGAATAAATTTTGAATGAGAACCACTAAAAGAGATTATGAAGTGCATGTGCTATTAGTTTGGTTTAATTAAAAGAGAAGGGGAGGAGAACAGTTCTACTTTTCCAATATTTTTAGAGGGCTTCTATGGGTAACCATTTGGCATAACCTAGGGTCAAGGGGCTCTGATACCAACTTGTCACGCCCGGAATTTCTATCCAAAATTCCAAATGCTTACATGTGTGTGAACCCTCGTACAGGAATCAGCCGAGGCACACAATAACAAATTGATAATAGAGTACAATTATTACTCTAATTAATAAGCGAATAAAATGTCATTACAGAGGTAGATAGTTCCTCTCAATCAATAAAGATCTAAGCAGCGGAAAGATAAGATAAACGGCGCAGACGACTCCACTCCACAGGCAGCTTGACCAGGGCTACACCTAATCCTCCACACCATCAGCATCACTGTAGAACTCTTCCTCTGATGAATGATTGCAAGGTGAGTATATGACATACTCAGCAAGCCACGCAGCAAATATGCAAGTGCACAAGGATACCAAAGAATGGCATAATATAGGGCTCATTTGCAAAAGCAGCATTTAGCAAACATTTGAGAATTATAAAACAGTAGAGTAATTAATCACCAATTTTAATCAACACTAAACAGCACACCCATGCTGCTCAGGCCCAACCATCCTGAACAACCATACCCGGCTGTACAGATCTATCTCCAAACCAGGAATATACCATTCCAAACCAGGAGCTAATCAAATTATTACCAGTTATAGCATCTTTTATTATGGTGAGAAGTGTGAGACTAATCACGAAAGACATTGTTAGACCCGCCCATAACCGCGGGCACGGCTATTCGAATAGTTTTACTCTGGCCAGAGGTGTACCACTGTACCCACAAGACACAGCCCCACAACATGTCACCATGTGCCTCAATACCACCACGGTACCTCGGAAAGGAGCTGTGACAGTACCCCTCGCACAACACAATCCACCACAGCGCACCTTTCCTGGATCATAATCACCCCCTTATAAACAAGGCATGGACTCCCCAGCGACCCCCGTGGGCTTATCTCCGCCACTTCTCAGTCTGGTGCTCCGCAATGAACCATGCTATACAAAAGGTAAAGCCGTTGCCCACGCTGGCTTGTGGTTGGCACGGTTAATGTTTCACAACCGAAACTCGTGAACCGGTCCTTATTTGTCATGAGCACGACTCTCAAAACCATGTGCTCACAACCCACCATTATCAAGTTTTAGTTGGCAAGTAATTAATTAACCAATCACGATTGACCATCGTGAACTATCATTAAGCCATCATTAAATAATAGTGAGTCATAAGTTATCCCAATAGTGTGCTAATGTTTCTAAGCATGGCTAAGCAATCTTATCTAATATCTAGCTGAACCAATATATATAGCCCAACTAGTCAAGTTATAATAACCCAAGGTATCAAGGAATAAAGTAATCAATGCAAACAGGCCATAACAAAGGAATAGATTCACACTACCCAGTGACATTCGAAAATAAATGCACAATTGAAATAAATAGAGAATTTAAATATAGGATCAACATGCTCAAAGGATTGTGTTTAGGATCTGTGTGACTTGCCTTGCTGGCCTTGGAACTCTTCAAATTCTTCTCCTGCGAAAACAGACTCTCCGGAAACGTCGGAATCTAAACAAAAAGGAGCAAAATCACCAAACAGCACATAAACAAGCATGAACAGTACATGTGGATATTTTTAACATGTAGATCTCAATTTTAGAAAAATTTAGAGACTTGAACCAACTAAATCCGAGCTAAGATGAATTAGTTATGAATTTTTAAAGATTAAATCGGATTAAAACACTTATATGGATTTTAATTGAATTATGACGCAATAATGAATTATTTTTGAAAAGGAAAAGGGAATTATTGCGTCAGCGGCTAGGGTTTTCGGTGGACCGGGTGCACGGCGGCGGCTTACGGAAACGAATGGCCGAGATCTTTCCATCCAAAACGGACGGCCGAGATCGACCGGTCCACGGTCGGACCACGAGAGACGACGACGACGACGTCGGCGGTGACGTCACCACCGGCGGCGGCTCGGGCGTGCATGCTCGCCGGCGAACGACGGCACGACAGCGCGAACGGAGGGCTCCTACGGGTAGCGGACGGCACGGCGAACTCACCGGTGACCAAAGCGACGGCGGACGATGACCGGACGACATCGGCGACGAGGAGAAGGCGGCGGCACTCTTCGGCTTGACGACGGCGACGGTGCTCCGGCGGTTGACAGCGACGGCGAAGGGGCGGACGAGGACGGCGACGCGACGGCGACCACGATGGCGACCTCCCCGAGCGACGGCGACGACTGGAGCGACGGCGGCGACGACGGCGGCGCGAGGTCTCACGGGGCTAGGGCGCTACCGACGGCGAGAGACGAAGGCGAGGGTGGCAGCAGGTAGCGGTGGACTTGGGGGTCCTTTTATAGGGGCAAGGAGGCTGCGGCGAAGGCCCACGGCGACCGGCGACGCGAAGGAAAGTCTAGGGTTCAGAGGAGAGAGATTGATCCGAATCGAACTCGAATCCGCGAGTTCCAAAACGATTTAGACGATGTTTCCAAAAGGGAAAAGGTAGAGGGGATCCCGAGGATCATTTCCCCTCTATTAATTTCACCGGAAACAGAAAGGGGCGGTTGGATTTGGAAGGAGACGACGGCGGCGCGGCGCTAGGGTTCGGGCGGCGGCAGCGGCGCGAGGAAGACGAAGACTGACAGGTGGGCCCCACCTGTCAGCGGCAGCGAGCGCGCGCGCGCGAGCGGGCGGCTCGGCTGCGGACTGGGCCGGCTTGGGCCGAGGAGGAGAGAGAGAGGGTTTTGGGCCGACTTTCGGCCCAAAGCCAAAAGAGACTTTTAAAAACCTTTTTCAATTTAAATTATTCATGAAATGCAATTCCATTTATTAAAAATACTTCCTTAGCTCAAATAAATTCCAGAAAAATCTAGGAATTATAGAGTTAAGCAAAGTATTTAATGAAATTTTATCTGGCCCCATTTTATATTGGAATTTATTAATTAAAACTAGATCTTCTTTTCAAGGCTTTTTAAAATAAATTCTAATAATTCCAATTAAACAACAATTTATATATTTAGGATTTTTAAGGTGTGACAGGCTTGGATCATAGAAGTTCATGTTAAGATAATTGAATTCATTTTGGCCTATGCGTTGTGACATTTGATTATCATAGAAGTTATAGGACGATCGAAGTCCAAAAAATGAACTACTTAGAATACCATATTGAGGACACGGATTATTTTCATCAGCTTGATTTGAAAAAAAAAAGAACTACTTAGAATACCATATTAAAGACTACTGATGTGAGAATCTGCACATCCATTGTCTAATTGAACTTCTGACTAAACTTTTGTTCAATTAGACAATTAGGCAAGAATCATCTGACTGAACTTGACACGGCAAGTCGGCAGGTGGAGGTATCCTGATAGATAAACAGATCACATAAACAACTCAAACATCGCAAACCTGCCAATCTCATAATAGGAGAACATTAATTTGCAGCTTTGCTTACTTCGATTTCATTTTTTCTCAGGTCAAGAACAAAATTTACATCAATGCGCGGTTGCAATCTGAGTAGTTATCTTTTACTCCGTACAGTGATGACGCAAAACTTACAGGAGATTAGCTACTACAACTAATTACCCTTCGCATGTCCATGGAAATAAGGTAGCATATATATATACATTAATTCTGAACCAAGTCTCCGTATTTCAGGCTCCTTGCAGCATATGGCTTTACTCTCAGCTTGCTATTCTTGCCCAACTGCTTGTGGAGTTGTGGGGTGAAACAGGTATCACCACCTGCAGAAGAAGTTCTAGTTCTGAAAGACAACATACCTTCCATGATACATTGATGCCTTGTTGCCTCCAGATAGGCTCAGAAGTCTATCATACCAAAGATGCTCTCTACTGAAGGATTCACTAAACAACCTTTCATATTTTCATCTTTATTTCCTAAACCTAAACTCAACCTTTTAGTAATGGACACAATTTCTCGGTCCAGGAATACAGAGAATGCGACCAATAAGAGGATTTTAAAAAAAAATTTCGAAGGGCTATACCTATACTGTACTGCACTAGTCACTAGATAAGTCATGGTAAGAATAGGGCCTCAAGGTATAGTTTGATGTACAACTGGTTGCTCCTATAGACATAGGAGGCTATAGAAGACAAGGGGTATGAAAGCGTTGTCGAGTTGGGCTGTATATGCTTCCAATAAACCGCTCAATGTCACAGCTACCAAAAGTGATATCCAATGCTGTGTTAATATAAAAGAGATGGTCAGGATTTATGCTTGCTTAGTGTATTGTAGAATAAAAGCTTCAAATGGTTTAATGCCAGGGGGGAAAGTAAAACCTGTGAAAGTATGTATCCACTTGAAGCTAAGAGTGACAGCAGGATTGAGCAGGCTGCTAATACAGAAGTTATGCCTGCTGCTGTGCCCTTAATTGTTTTCTCTAACATTTCAAAAGTATGTGCATAAGAGATCAATTATCAACCATGGAATAAATAATAATGGAAATCAAACTCACTTCCTGTCTTGCTCCATCTTAGGACACCATACTTATAACCTATCATTGATGCCTAGGTAAAACAAGAGAATTCATCATACTGAACGCAGCTAACATAAGAAAATATTAACTGATCACACACTGGACATAGAACCTACCATGGTATCACCAATACCCAAGCTGAGAATTCCAGCAAATGGTGTAAGAGGTCGGTCATTGAATCCTGATGACATCCATTTAGGAAGTGCACATCCCAGCAAGAGTGAGAAATGACTGAACAAAACAAATATAGTATTAGGCCTATCCAAGTATTGAGCATGTAAATGAGTTAAAATCTGGAAAACAACGACCATTCATCCAGACCTACCTAACAATTAGAATCTCCGAATCGCGGTGATCAGTGAAAGCACTCATGAACTGATGCACAATATGCCCAAGAGGGTATATTTCCCAAACCTGAGGTCAGGGTGAAACATTTCGTTGGAGAAATTAGCACATGTTGGCATACAAACTGCCAAAAAACAGAGAAACGGGAGAAAGAAAGGGATACAAATAAAGAAAATGCTTACTCGAACCATCTCCAATATTAAGAAAACAGCAAATGCTGCACCAAATGCCAAGTCCAAGAAATCAGGCTGCAAAGAGAAAAAATTTATTGGGAGTGTGTTTCAAACAATCTGATAGGGATCGAATAACGAAAACATATATTACCTGAAATATTACTGCAGGAGAGAAAATTAGGACAGCAACGAGATGGTAATACTTGCGCAAAAGAATCCTCTCCGTTTTGCTTTGTTTTGATATACTGTAGAACCTTCTAATTGATACATATATCACAAATATCCAGTTTGCGCATAAAGCAAGCCGTTCACGTGAATCGGTGAAAATATAGTTAAAAACCCTGTGAAATAATAAACCATTAAGTGAACCAAAATTCAATATGTACAAAAATGCACAAGGTTTAGAAGCAACACAGGAAAAAAAAATTCAATATTTGACTAACAAAGTGCATGCTTTTATGCCCTTCCAATGAAATGCAAACTTATATGCTCACCAAACAAATGGATGCACTTCAAAACCTTGAATAAGACGCGTCCATGATGGCACTAACAACAATAGTGCTATCAACAATGAAACATAAAATACACCACAGTCAATTCTCTTCTGTGTGCATTCCTCAACTGTTTGTGTTCTTTGACTCTCCAGTTTTCTACAGTAAGCCAAAACTTGAAGGGAGCTTTTGTATAACAAGGGGAGAAGAAAAAGACCAAGCAAAACCCCCTGCAGAAAAGAAAAAAAAGGGAAGGGTATTATGCACTAAGAAACTGAAGCCAGACAACGCAATAGCTTCTACCTGAATAACTGTGCCTATCTCGTTTCGAGTTCCAGGTGCGCGAATAAATGCTTCTGATGATACGGAGAACTCCATCTGCCAGCAGCACGGTTGCAAATGTGCAGGCAACAAAATAAGTATCAGATTTGCTACCATTTTGCTGGTAAAACATAGTTCGAGGAATAAATCACACCTTTGAAAGAGTATGAGCCAGCATATCACCACAGTAAAGAAACAAGACCACTTGAGACCAAAATGGCCTCCCCTAAGTTCACAGAAAATGTAAAGATAAGTTAAAAAAAGCAATAGCTTCAAGTCATGATGAAAAGGAGACATATACATTGCATCGGCCAATAGGAACCACACAAATTAGCTGAATTTAAATTTTAAAAAATGAACAGTGTAGACATAATGCACCATGCCTGCATGGAAACTGGTAGGATAACTAGCAATCGTATGGATAGCTCTAAAGTCTAAACATATGCAGTCTGATATAAACAAAAAAAAAAGAAGATCTACATCTTAGACTTCAGGTACAAACCAAAAGATGAACATGAAGGGAACTTCTCTAGAATATGCTGGATTAAGATCACAGCAGCCACTCCATGACACAGCAAATACACCAAATTACTCATCACCAGCAGACCTGTTAAGACAACCTAGATTAGTTTGTAATTCCTTGCTTCTGATGAACTTCCACCAGATTTTGGAAAGAAAGGGTGAGACTATCTTTGCATGCAGATAAAATATGCATGTACCTCCATCAGTCTTCAGTAAAAGGTGAAACAAGTATGCCAGGGGATATAAAATGATGAGCAACAAGCCGTATTTCGAAGCTATAGAATTTCCATTGCTGGGAGACTGCCGTAGATGCCAAACAAAAAATGCTAACATGCTGAGGCAGCTAACAGATACTGCCCAGTACTGCATTTCAAGGTATGCATATTCTGACAATGAACCACATATGTAGTTAGTAAACCAGATGCGTCACCGAAAATCTTAGTGTCAAACAAGATTTGAAATGTTGATGAAGACTTGGGGAAATTTCCATTTAGTAATGGAACTGATAAATTTGACAAAATAGAAAAATGGATACCTTCACGTCCATTAGGATCGGCTAGTAAGACCCTATAAAGTTGAATTAACCGTGAAAGCATGACACTAGGCAGAGTAGTGGCACCAAGAAGTATGCCTGATGAAGCACCCGGCCTGGAGCATATACATATATCATCATCAAGCACTGAACAATCTTTTACAGAAACATGCACAAGAGCATCAAGCCACCACAAGAAGGTGAAGTCCTCACAACACAAGACGTGACAAAATCTTACAGTAAGCAACTAGGATTGCACATCACAGAACCCATATAAATGACAGTGGGAGCAACGTTTCAGCTGAAAATGCAATGGAACAGTATTTTGGCCATCAAAATGGGAGCAATATTTTGACTGGCTTTATGATAAAAGCACCTCTGAATTTCCCATTTGTGAAATGGGTTAACTAAGAAATGCTGAAACCCAATTATTCAAGAGTGATATTTGTCCCTTGGATTGTTGGAACCACCAATATCTGACCCCATTTTACACACTACTGAACCAAAATAAAATCCACTAAGCCTCAAGTACAAGTAAAATCACATTCCTGCGGTATGCTGAATCCGACTGATGTCGTTTCCCCAATTGCATGATCCTCACAGGGAGGCAGCCAGCATTGAACCAACAAATGGATAAATTCGCCTCAGATTCTACGGCTGCGCCAACGAATTTTGCAAAAACACTGCACCTTGCAGGTTCCCTGGCATCACAGGGAGCTCCTCTAAGACTTAATTCGTGGGGGGTTCGAAACTCGAACACTGGTATCAAAGATCACGCAATCCCCCAAGCTAACCAAATCGCGCGAACTAGCAGCCCAGCTCCGTGGAGATGCGGCGGAAGAAAATACGGATAAGAACGGGGGAGGATATAACGTCGCACCTGGTCCTGAACCGGCGGAGCGGGGATGAGGACGCGGAGGCGGAGGCGGAGGCGGAGGCATCCACGGCGAGCTCGACGGCGAGGGCGGCCGCGGCAAGGACTGCGAGCGGGGCGGCGAGCTGGGCCGGCGCCGCGAGCGCGACGCGGGCGACGAAGAGGAACACGACGAGCCTCTCGCCCGAGACCACCGCCGGCGCCATCGCCATCGCCGGCGACCGAGGAAGCGCACGAACGAAGGGAGCGCGGCGCGAACCGGACGGGCCTTGGTGGTTCTGACTGACAGGTGGGGCCCGCATAAACCAGACGCGGGTGGTGGGTCAAAGCGGTTGAGCCGCCGCGTCCGACACGGGTGTGGGTGTGGTGCACCGTGCACGCACGCGCACCGGACCTGACCTGGTCCTCTTGCGTGGCGTCAAGCGTGTGCGCGACGCGGAGAGAAACAGTGGCCGCCGCTGCTACTGCTGTTTTTTTTTTTCTTCTTCTTCTTCTTTTTGGTTTTGTGACTCGCTCTCGTATATGTGGGCGTTTGCGTCGACGTCGTCGTCTGGGCGTTGAGTTGGATGGGAATATGGAATGATTCCTGAGTATTTTGTACCACCGCTCCAGGCAAAATTCACAAGTGCCGCAATGTTCAAGCAAAATTCATGTTCTATGCTACTCCATTCGTCCCATTATAAGTTCAGTCATGAGTTTCCATATCTATCTTTGATCATCCATCTTATTTGATTTTTTTTATGATTAGTATTTTTATCATTATTAGATGATAAAACATAAGTAGTACTTTATGCATGGCTTATATTTTTGAACTTTTTTTTTAAAAAAAATTCAAATAAGACGGACGATCAAAATTAGACACGAAAAATTATGGTTGCACCTAAAAACTTAAAATGGGACAGAGGTAGTATCAAATATAAGTTCGACATCCACAATTCTTGTTCTCAGATAGGTAACTAGTGACTGATGAGGAGCTTGTCTGATGGACCACAAACCACAACATATTCTCAGGTTGGATGGGGTAGATACAGGTACAATACAATTTAAAATATTTTCTAGAGTAACAACTAACAATCCGGGAAGAAAACAGACACCAAGATAAAACCATCCATCCATTGATCCATCTGAGACTCAGAGCAGGGTAGTAATACTAATACCACGTTCCAAACATACATAAGTGACGTTCCAGGCATAGTAATAACATTACTAATACAGACGCTAATAATAAGACAAGATCACAATCTCGACCGTAGCTTATAACAGTTTTTTGCTAATAATACAGTTATTGGGAATTTGGGACAGCAGTAATACTATGTTTGATCATTTTCTCTTCAGAGCGGAGGGGATCATGCAACGGCAACAAAGTGTGACATGCAGGACAGATATCATCTCCTTGGGATCTTTAATCTAAGGGAACTCCTCAGCAAACCGGGTCAAAATACCCTGAACACAAAACCAGTAACAAAAACGTCAGTACATCAGAACAGGTAGCAATTTATCATTACATTACACAAGTAAACCAGGGGGAAATATATCCTAAACATTGCACCCCCTTCAGAAGCAACAAGCCTGCAAATACAGAAAAAAGAAATGCAACTTCAATGAAAATGCTTCCATCACAAGTAAACACCATATGAATATCAGCCAACTCAAATACCACCTAGTTCAAGCTTCACACGCATATATTGGATGACGGTACATGGAAATGTACATCCTGCCTGCCAATGCGTTCTCACATCAGATGTGTTCTTTGCATAGAGGGAAGAAAAAGGCAGAACATAAAGCAAATTTGCAGAAAGAAACATGAAAGGAAATACGAACTAGTGCCTGCACACTATGGTTCATATGATAACAATAACCAAAGCGTTGGCGCCACTGAAAATGAGCAAACAGAACAAATCAGCTGTTGGTGCAACCTAGTCCATTCAATATAGGCAGCTCGTGATAGATGTTCACTGAAACCAAGTAACCAACAAGACCATACAATTCTAACATATCAATGTAAAGTGATTTATAAAAAGCTGCAGCTCTATTTTTCTGAGTTGTTTCAAGTTACAATTACTCCAGCAGGTCAAACTGCCTAAGGCCTAATAACATACAGTAGCCCAGGCTAAGGATACCCATTTGTCAAGGAACAGTGCTAACTGATAAAACACTTGCAAGGACAGCAGTAAACCAAAAGGAATCATACATACGAGTAATGCAATGGTTGCTCTTTAGAAAAAGAAATCACCTGAATGAACAAATGTGAACCCATGATACAATATCACAGCAGAAGTTTCAATAATATTTGCCGCGAAATTTAAGTAAAATAATAGGAAAGAAACAACACTTACATTGATCAGACAAACATCGCCAGCTCTGGACGGCTGTAGATGTTATCCCCATCATCATCTAGTGCAGGATAAGCAGCAACAAGTGCATCTTGTGCACCTATATATAATGAGTTGTAGATTTTCCAATATACTTCACGTACTTTCCTTGCTGGATGGAAAAGGCCTTGAAGGCAGTAATTCAAGATCACAGCTGGACCAAGAGCAACTCTCATCCCCTCAATCGCCTCCATGACAGCATTGATGACATGGGGAGATGTCTCAAATATGTTGGGCCAGACATAGTTAAGCAAATGGACAAGAGCATCCTCACAGCCCAAGCCAGCAACACCAAGAGCCATGTGTTTCACAGCAGAGGCAGCAGTTTGCCGGTGAACAAGATCTCTGTCCATTAGAGCATCTTCAAGCAAGGGAGTAACAGCATATATGTAATCCTTGCCCATCTCACCAATATACTCAAAGAGGAAAGAGAGAGACTTCAGGACACCATTCTGAACATTGAGTTCTGGGACCCGGTACTCATTCATCAGGGCAGGCAGAACTGTGAAAGGCGAGCAGGTTTCAGCAACAATTGCAATCGCGACAGTCGTGCAGACACGGTTTTGTCGTTCCTGCACCTTCAAGTTATTCAACAGAGTCGCCAACACATCCTGTGGCCCAATAGCCTTCGCAATATAACCAAATGTGTTCACAGTCGCTCTTCTAATACCCTTCTTGTGAGCCTTCAACATTTCAAGAAGCTCAAAGCAAATCCTCATCCACTCCCTAGCAGGCACAAATTCTGCTCCGCGATCAGCAATCCTACCAACTAGATCAATGCAGTTCTCCTGGACCTTCTCATGCCTATTCTTCAAGATAGGAGTCAGCCGAGGAAGAAGATCCTTGATTGGCGGTGTCATCTTAGTCATACCAATGACATTCACAATAGCTTTCAATGCTCCAAGAATCGAACCCAACACCTCAGGGTACTCCTCTCCCAAATACTCATACAGCACAACACCCAAATGACCCATAAGCTGCTCCTCCTGACATTGTTTCATCACAATAGCTATCCTTGAGATCAGATCAGCAGCTTGCTGCCTAACTTTTGCACTCTTGTTGTTCAACCGCCACTTAATGGTACCACAAATCTGAGGAAGGTAAGGCTTGACCCTCTGTCCCAGTGCATTGACAACAGCTCCAAAACCATTAAGCATGACATTTGCATCATCACTTGTCTGCTCTTGGAAAGCATACAGGATGCCATCAATAAGCAGCTCCTCCAAACGAGCATCAATATCTGAAGCACCCAAATTAGCCACCACCTTCTCAATTGTTTCCATCACCATTCTCCTGTAAGGCTCACTTTCATCTTTCAGATCCTCAACAATCCTCCCAACAATATCAGCAACTCCAACCTTATTTGCCATCTCTACAGTTGTTTCCACAAGCTGCTTATAGTTCCTGCGGTCCAGAGCCATTCTCCTAACCCAGAAGTGACGGAAAAACTCAGGAAGGATGTCATTCCGGATATAATCAGCCTCTACACCCTCTGTACTGACACACTGTTTAACAACCTTCAGGACAATCTTCTTCATTTCTTCATCTGGTGACTGGAACTCCCTTATCAGGATTTGCATGACCTCCTTCGTGTAGTAACTGGCATACAGCGCATCCATAAGAGGGATGATGAAACCAATAGCTTTCAAGAAGGCAGCAAGAACCTTTCCACGGTGAGATCTGATACCCTTCCACAGAGGCTTCAAAACAGTATCAAAACTTTCTATACCATATGGTGCAGCAGCCTCAGCAAGTGTAGCAAGAGAAAGGGCAGTGATTGTCCGCACTTTCTGGTTCTCATCACTAAGACCATGCTCAATGATCTCGACTAGGGACTTGAGATGTGGCAGAACAGCGCAGCCCATAAGAATAGCAATCTGCTGAACAATCTTGATACCAGTGTGCCGAGCTTGCCAGGACTTCTTACTCTGACAGACAGCCTTTAAGAATGGCAGGAGAGCAGGGGTACCCAAAGCAGAAGCCACCACGCTAAATGCTCTAGCAGTGGTATTTCTCACATACTCATCAATGTTATCAATATCTGGTCTCATGGCGGCAATCATAGTAGCAAGACCAGCAGCTTTGCTAAGATTTGAGATAATCTCCCGGCCCTCAACACGAGCATAGTAGTCCTCATCAATCAGAAGTGGCTCAATGACCACAAGAATCTTATGGACAAACGGACGGACTAGCTCATCCAGCTTATACAGTACCCTGTCAATGACCTTCACCAGAAGATGCCGCTCCTGGTCCTCAATTGTTGGCTGCATGAGCAAGGGTAGAATCTTGTTGAACAAAGGGCCAGCACCAAATTCCCTTGCTTTGTCTGTCAGCTGTCGAAGTGCGTATAGGCTGGTATGAAGCTGGAGGTTCAAGAATCTTGTACCCTTCCTGCGGGAACATAGTATCAAGCTCCTCATCCGTAAGAGGCCTGTTCCGCTCCTCAATGTCCCGCTCCCACCGCAAGAGCTGGTACTGCTCTGGAGTCATTGGACCACGAGAAGCAATCTGGCCGGGTGTTGGCGTCGCAAGGTTGTCACCACCAAATGGCGTCGGACCAGGAGTGTAACCTGCAGGCGTCGCAGCACCAGTGCCTCCAGGTGTAGCACTACCCATACTTGCAGGAGTCTCATCCCATCTCGATCTCTGCTTCTTGGGTGTTGGCGTGACAAGCCCACCAGGCAGCTTAGGAGTAGCATCCCAAGCTCCAGAAGGTGTGGCACCTGGAGTAATGCCACCAGCTGCAGGTGTTGCATCCGCATCGGCCATCCTCCCAGGAGTTGGGGTCTCATCCCACCGATTCCTTCTCACCGACGGCGTCGCATCCCCGACACGACCAGGGGTGGCATCCCAGCGCCCAATCCCAGGAGTTGCATCAGGAGCATCCCAGTCGGAGGAGGTCTTCGCCTTCTTGGATCCAACAGCAGCAGAAGCATCACCATCCTGCGACTGATCCCATCTATTGCGGCGCTTCGGCGCTGCCACTGGCTGCTGCTCAGGCACGGCCTTCTTCTCCTTGGCCTTCTCCTCCTCTTCCTTTTTTCTTCTGAGC